CTGTGAGACCAGCCATTCAAAACTTAGTCAAACTCTTAATAATCTATGCAGCACCCCATATTATAATAATAAAAACATACCTAGGCGGTGACCGGTAACGCCTTGGCGGAGTGGGTGAACGACCTCTCGGCGGCGGAGATGTCCGTCTGCGTCTTTGAGGTGGAGAGTCAACGCGCCTAGAAGGAGAACTTCGGCGACGAGCAGGAGATCGACGTAGAGGAGAACCAAGGTTTCGCCTAGGAGATCCCCTTCGTCCAATTGGAGATCTCCTTCGCTGTGGGGAAAGAGGTCTTCGGCGAGGAGAGACTGAAGAATTAATCATTTCCATTACCAATTATGTTCACAAAGACTATAAATATGCAGTAATAATAAATGGGCAACATACACTCTCGTGGCCGTTTTGGACCATCTTTATCAAGATTGATAGTGGCACCACTATCATTCTTCGGACCATCTCTTTTAGAAGTTGCCAATGGCTTAGGAGGGGAATATGTCTTCTTTCTCTCAGCTAATGTGAACTTTGCATGAACAACTTTTCCGTCAATCTGGGCCTAGAATAGGACCATTGAAAGATTAATAGCTAGAGGTTGCAAAGATTATAAGAAAAATAATAGATATATCCTCTGGCTTAGTATACATACTCCATTCATGTACAGCAAGGCTTTCTCTGCTTCAACTCTACTCTTGAATTCAACATATGCATATCCTTTAGGAAGATTAACCTGAACATTCAACACCATTTCTTTATAACAACAAACATAAGAGAACAGTACACGCCAAACACCCAAAAAATGACCCCCAGCTTACAAAATAAAACCGCAATAGACCCTGAACTCTTCAAATGTGTCTTTTGGACCCTAATTTAACTCATTGATGACATTGACCTTAAAAAAACTGATTTATTTTACATTTAGCATGTTGCATATGCAGGTGCCACTAACACTAGAGTGATTGCGTACAAGAGAAAACTGTAAGCAATGATATGACACATTGCAACGTAAAAATCAAATTATAGATATATAATAAATAGATATTAGCCTAAAAGCATCACATGTTTGACTTTATAATCAATTTTATACCATTGCAACTTGTCTCATAGGTTAGGCCTGTGTGTATACGTCAAGTCTAAAGCCAATCTAAATGGGTCATTTGAATGTTGAAGGATAATTGGAAATTTTGATAAAAGTTCAAGGCCAATCATAGTTATTATGCAACGCTAAGTTTATTTTTTAGTATCTGACCAATAATAAATGTTACATTTCCTAGGGACATGGAGCTTAAGTTCTTACCTCACGATCAATTACCAGCTGCACACGCACAACTTCACCAAAGTTACCTGAAAAGTGTTATAAAAAAATTAGTGTAACCTGAAAATGCAGTTTTGTTGAAAATTAGTGTTATATGGAGTGAACACCAAAGTTACCAAATATCTCTTTCAAATGGTTTTCATTGACATTCCTACTAAGTTGCTCAACATGTAGTACAAGGGACTCTGGAATGGGAGAAACTTTCCTGAAATCAGGAGAGTAGCAAGACAGAAGAGTGGCATTAATGGCACAACAGCAAGATAATATTGTTTCTCAGAATTCTGAACACAAGACATGTCATGGGGAGGAGGTGAGCTACTTAATCAACCTAGTTGCTGCTCTCAAGGCTCAACTTGTTGTTACTACAAATGAATGCCAAACATCACTAGTGACAGATGTAAATTAAAAGCTAGAGCATTGTTGTTTAATACATTCCGAAATTGAAAGAAGCCAGTACCTTGGAGGGGGGGAAGCTTTCTTTGGCTGTGTTGCTGGTGAACGACCTCTCTTGGATCCTTCAGCAGGGCTATGAAAGTCCCAATCAACATAAAATAAAATTGAATGAATCATCATGCATGAGCGTGAGAACAGAAAAAACATTTTAACCAGTTCACTGAAATTAAGGATAATAATTATATTAGTAAAACTACACATCCTTGCAGAAGATGCAGACAAATCTTACGTGCTTACAATACCAATTTAAATCTGTTTCCCTTTCTGATCCTGAACTCAGAACTCGGTAGCTGCTAAAGTGTAGTTGAGAATTTAACTAGCAAAAAAAAAAAACTTCCTACACAATCTACTGATTGATGAAGAAAAAGGTGGGAGACCATATGTGTGTTACGAGTCTAACAATGGTGTCAAAATTGTCTAAATTTCATGTGACGAAGTGAAAAACATACTCCGTAGCATATAAACGAGGGGTTGAAAGGGGACGTGGGTTGAAACACACCTTCTCCTGGGCGGGCTACGGCTGAGAGAACTTCCGCTACGAGAATGAGAGGAGGAGGAAGAGTAGGACCTAGAACGGGAGCGAGAACCGGAGCCGGAGAAGGACCGAGACCTTGACCTAGATTGAGAGGGAGATGCAGGGGAGCGGGAACGAGAAGGCGACCTCGAACGCGACGAAGATCGAGGAGACCGCGATGGAGCAGCCGGACGGCCTCGGCTTGGTTTTGCCATGGCACGCGCTAAGTGTACTGGCACTGCTTTTGTTTAAACCCTAGCTCTGAGGGTGTGCACACAGCCAGAATGGAGCCTGAGGATTTCTGTGACAGTGAGACTGATCTGACTTGAGCTTCGGAAGATTTGGTCTAACTTTGTTCAAAACTAATTGGGCCTAGCAATCTCATTCATCAGTCAAACTTTTTCATCAAATAGCTAACTTTTGATTTCGTGCGCTGAATTATGTAATAAACAGAAAAAGTAAGGTCGGAGTTACTTTTCTGGCTGTATTGATTGAAGTTAATGTAGATGACCATTTTAGCTATTTTACCTATAATTTTTTCTTTATTTTATTAATATAATATATTTTAATAAATTTTATTTTATTAATATTTTTTTCTTAAATCAGCAAAATGCAGCCAGAACTTCATAAATTTCGACAGAATCAGCCAAATCAGCCGATTTTCGTGCTACCGAACGGGCTCTTAAATCTCTTTTGATGTCCCAAAATCTTTTAATCAATTATTTTGTGTTTTTTTTTGTTTTTCTTCTCTTTTTTTGTACAAGTCTCAATGACACAATATTTAATCTATTCTTCTTCGTCAGTGTCAAGCTTGGCAAAGTTTTAAGGAACGTAAGGAGTGAAAGAGTATGGTGTACTCTCTATGGTCCTAATACTCGTACAACTCGGATTTCAAACCGGAAATGAGATCGAAAAACAAGGTTTTCAAATTGCGACCGAGGCCAGATGAGTACGAAAGAAGTCTTGGTCCCAATCTCAAACCTCCATTTTCTTAAAACGATCAGGATCGGGACCAATTACATTTTTTTGCTATGAAATCATTGAAAACATTTTATGAGAATTGGGAGATTACTTAGAACCTTAAAAGGGTGTAGTGTTTAAAAGTATATTAAAGAATAAAGGGAATAGGTGCAAATAAGCCCATGTATTAACCAAAAATGTCAAATAAGCCCTTATTTAGGAGGCTCTGTTCGGATGTCGCCATTTGGGGTGGTTCCCAGTGGAATTTTTTGATGAATTTTTTTTAGCATCTTATTCATTATGTCTAGTTTACTCATACCAAATTGCAGCTAAAACTTCAATCGGGAAGGCATTCAAATGAATTCTTGAAGATAAATGCGCAGTTATCTTAGATAGTTCATTTGAATGCCTTCCCGATTGATGTTTTAGCTGAAATTTGGTATGAGTAAACTAGACTGAATTAATAAGATGCTCAGAAAATTTCATCAAAAAATTCCACCGGGAACCACCCCAAATGGTGACGGCCGGACAGAACCTCGTAAATAAGGGCTTATTTGACCTTTTATGGTTAGTACATGGGCTTATTTGCACCTTTTCCCAAGAATAAAAAATTGAGATCGAATTGGGACTGGGATCGGGATCGGTTAGGGGACCGGGACCAGACGGGGCTGGAAATAGAGTTCGTGGGCATCAATGTCTTTTTCCAAAGACCGACTGGTTCGGGATCGGGACCGGGTCCACCCATGCCTCCGTCCCAACGTGAGATTATTGTTAGCATTTATAATAACAGTATTTTACACCCCGTGCGACGCACGGGTGGAATACTAGTAATCGCAATTTATACCGTGCAACCGGCATACCATGTGCATGGTATGCCCGGTTCTAATACGGTGTCGTTCTTATGCAATTAAAATCGTTTCCCAAAATTTTATTCTTCCCATGCTTCCGCTAACTTTTTTCCACTAACTTTTCTTCCTTGCTTTCTCTCTTGTGCTGCTTTTCGTTTTGAAAATTGAAGCAAATTCTATTGCTTTGATGTAATAGGCTGCTATGAATCAATTCAGATTAATACTTCGTATAAACTTCTCCGTTCAGATTAATCTAATTAACATGCTTTGATCGATGAGGTTAATTGGTTTTTACGTATAAAATGGAGTTACACTCTTTAATACAAATTTACATCTTAAGTTACATGGAGTTACATCTTTTTATGAACGAGTTACATATTCATGTGCATGAGTTACATCTTTTTATAAGCGAGTTACATTTGGACTTACCTCAACAACTTACATTTGTCATCAACACGAATTACATTTATAATAATTAGACTCTCTTTTTCATTGTTTACATTGAAATCAATGTTTTATTTCGTATACTATGTATTTGACAAGTTACATCTCATTTTGCTTGAGTTACATTGATCAAGAACTCGAGTTACATATCTATACACGCGAATTACATCATCCATGCTACTGGGATGAAAATTAAAAAAAAACACTGTACACGCGTGCACTGTTCACGCGTGTACTATTCACGCGAATTTTTATTATTATTTAAAATTGATCAAAACTACGTCGTTTTGGGGTGTGGAGCATGGTGCTCACCATGCTCCGGTTGCACGGTATACGGACTGACTAGTAATATATTACAATAATACAAGATAAATCATTATATTAATTATGTGTACACATATTTTTCAAATCATATTTATGGATTGTCAATAATTAAATATTAAATATTTAATTTAATTAAGAAAGGAAAAAATGGGAAAATCTGTTTTTTTTTTAAGAAAATCGATAACTCTTTTTTTTTTTTTGCAAGATCGATAACTCTTATCTGGAGTATCACCTAAGAGGCTAAAACTAAATAAATGCCCAGATAGCCTTCTAAATGAAAGTCCACTACTATGATCACAAATAATGAATATAGACAGGCTATATTTGTATGCACATCTATGATCTATATATACTTCACTACTTGCCACGAAACTAAAAAGGAATCAACGAAAGTTACAAGCTCCCTCACCGCCTAAATGGCTTTAAAATATTGGCACTCAGACACTCGGTACTTTAATCGATTGTAGTCAAGGTCTGGGAAGAAGCTTGAGATGCCAAAGTTGAACTATCAGATTCTGAAGATAATATATAATCATAAGCAGCTTTAACACTTGCAGGCTTAGTTTTCTGAGGGTTTTTAATCTTGAGATCCATGAAATCAGTTATCAGCCCAGGCTTTGTAATATTATCCTTCTCCTCCTCCATCTCCCCCTTTAACATCTTCACAACACGTGACATTGAAGGCCGAAGCTTAGGGGCATCTTGAGTGCAAAGAAGACCAATTCGTAAGAATCTGCAGGCTTGTTCTGCATCAAAATTCCCATCCAATGATGAATCTACAAGTTGTACCAGCTCTCCTCTTTCATAAAGTTGCCATACCTACAATGAAGTTAACTAATAAATAAAGTTGCTATACCTACAACGAAGTTAACTACGGAGTAGTAAAAAGTCTGATCCAGTCCTGTTTCTGGTTTTTACCCAAAATATGACTCATTTACTTCAAAAATTAGAAGTTTTAACCACCTTAACCTTTTTATTAGGACTAATTACCGATTCAATGAGTCTTAGTATAGGGAAAACAAGCTCACTCCTACTTATGCACTTAGTCATGTTTTACTCCTATTCGGAGCAATTTCTGTTGAAAGAATACATGTATGCAACATCCTAGGAGCATCCTAGGCAGTATAGGCACTAGGCATTGGTCTACCAACATAGGACTGCCAAGTGATTTTGGCGACCTTGGTTCAACAATACCCATTGGAGCCTTTGCAAATGAACTAAAACTACTCTCTACGCAAAAAGATCCAATATTCACTAGCACTAGAGGGTTGTACATAAAAAAAAAGTTCAGAAAAGTCATGCAATGATAAGTCAGGAAGCGCTATAACCATAAACTAACTTTAGAAATTCTGCACACATCCAAAAATGTGAAGCATAAATTGACGGGACATGAGCAAGCCATACCCTTTCAAGGAGATATTGTTCCTCAATGGGTAATCTTGTGTTTGTGTTGCATCTCCCACATATGATTTCAATTAGAAGAACACCAAAACTATAAATATCTGCTTTACGCGTCAACTGACCCCTTATTGCATATTCTGGTGCCAAGTAACCTCTGGAGCATAAAAACAAGAGGTAGTCAGCTTTAATATACAAAGCTACGCCCAAAGATTTGCAAACATCTTTAATGCTGTAAAATTTCTACCTTAAACATAACACATTAAGAGCAAATGAGCAATGATGATGAGAATATTGGTATTGGTAATATCAAAACTTTGATTTTCAGGAAATATTGGTGCCAGTAAGACTTTGAAAAGTTTATGATAATTGTATTATAAAATTGGAAATTTTACACTATATTTTGCAGTGAGTACAAAAAAGCCTTGTAGCATATTTTTAACTTAAAACAACATCAAATGAATAAGTCTAGTTGTATAAAATATTTCGGTAAAAACTTTACATTTTATTTCAATCCTATGAATTACCAGAGGATCAAGATACTTGAAAAAATGTTAACTGGTTTAAAATGTGTAACTTAACCAAAACACATACAGACTACGATATAGGATAAAATGTTTAGAAGAAAGAGCATAAAAACTTACAAAGTTCCTGCGACACGTGTACTGATATGAGTCTTATCTGGTGGAATGAGCTTTGCTAAACCAAAATCAGATATCCTGGGTGTCAAATCATTGTCAAGAAGAATATTACTTGCTTTTATATCTCTGTGGACAATATGCGGTTTCACTTGTTCATGAAGATAAGCCAGTCCAGTTGCCACACCAATGCAAATTTTTGACCGTGTTTTCCAGTCAAATTGGAGGCCACTGCCCCGTCCACCTAAATGCAGCATGCTTAACAAAATCAGATTTCAAATTAAACTAAAATGATAACGAAAGTGCATTTTCAACCACGTCCTGAATTTCAGCCCAATTGCTTGCCTAGACGCTAGGCCCCAGGCTGCCAAACTAAAAACCCTTAAAAGATAGCCCGGGAGCTGAATGCGCCACTTAGGCACCCGCCACAGCACTAAAACCTCTAGCTACACTAAGATAACACCAGTAAATGAAAAGAATTGGATGCAAAATGACAAATTTTTGTTTATACATTTCCTAAATTTGCTTCACATCAGGTAACACCCATTTTTCACTTCAAATCCTAACCACTCAGATCTAAGTTTGTACATATATCTATGCCTTTTACCTTTCTCAATGCCAGATTTCTAAGTTTGTACTTAATTATATAGACTTCTAGTGCTTGTCTATAGGTCTTAGGTAAACTTACAACGTTGAACTTAAAACCTGTTGACTGGTATCTTTCTGAGCTGGCTAAGACGTATTTGAATGGCATTAACAACACTTTTTAATGGAATGTATCCAACACCTTAGATATTATCCTGTTTTGGCGCTCAAGAGCTACTTCTTTAATTTCTGACATGTTGTGTAGCGCCAAATCATGCAAGCCGAGTAGAGTGGTAGACAAATTAATATGACGTAAAGAATAAGACTTTGAACATTATGCCAAAATATAATAATAATTACCTAGAAGGGAATGACCAAGACTATTGTTCGGAAGATAATTGTAGACAAGAATTCTATGCTCATCTTCCACACAACATCCATACAGCTTGACCAAATTTTCATGTTCTATATCGGAAATTACTTGAATCTCTGTCAAGAACTCTTGCACTCCCTGCTTCGATTTAGCAGAAAGAACCTTTATTGCGGCCATCTTCCCATTTTTAAGCCTACCCTGTTTGTCAAGGATTCGACAAAAAATGAGGTGTCAGACTGGCAAACACAATACAGAGATGAGCACCTTCACCATGTACTGGAAGGAAGATAAATGCCCAAAATATTTCCATTTGTTTACCTTATAAACAGAGCCAAAGCCACCCTCTCCAATTTTATTTGTAGGACAGAAATTATTGGTGGCAACTCTTAGATCCTTGTAGGAGAAGACGCTCACATTTCTTATGCCATAGAGATCTGTTCATGATTGAAGTCATTAGAAAACTCAAAATTTAAAATGCCAGGTTTATCGATATTGGATACTGGTTACACAACCATGGTCCTAACCTTCATCAAATTCAGATGAACGTGTGGTGGATGAGTTAAACTTGCCACGGTTACGGTATAGAAGAGAAAAGCAACCCATGACTTGGTGATTATCCAAGAAGCAGCCAAATAAAATTGGGCAATAAAGACAGCAACTTTAGATGAGAGTCCAGTTAGGGCCTGCACAATCAATGAACAGCAAATACTACTCTCAGATATACAATAGCAGGAGAAAAATATAGAACCACACAGTACTGCTTAAGGTAGACTACATCAGATTCACAACACTAGTACTTTGATGATTAAATATGGACAACCTTTTAAGAAACAACAAATCTTAAGTGCCCATTCAAAGGTTAACGCGCAAAATCCGAACTTCTTGGGGCAGTTCATCTCTTTTCCTTCTTTTGATATATCTCTACAGAAGGAATTAAATGGGCATGCTTATAATCAGGAGAAAAAGTCAAAAAATAGGCAATCGGGAACCGAATCAAGTTTATCAGCAACTCCTGATTCAAGGGCTTTTGGAATCAGACGAACCCAACACGTTATCTAAAGGATCAAAATGACCCCAGGTCTATGGAAATGCCGCCACTTCAAAGCTGAAAACCAAATACTACTCTCTAGTACAGAAGGTTAGACGAATTACCTGGAGGAAAAAAAATTAAACCAATTGCCCCGAAACGTGCTTGGATGAAGATGAGTTGAGAATGAAAGGGTAATTCTCTGAGAGTTATGCAAGGGGGTTGGAGATTTGTTCACTATTTAGTACGAAGTATGAATGAATGAAAGGGTATGGTCGTTTAAAGTCAAAGGAACAAGGCGTTGAATTTTCTTCCATTGACTATAAGATCAGGGGAAGCTGTTTGGTTGCTTCTTGGAGTGAGGTTGGACGCCACGTCTCGTCTTTAAAATTGCTTTCAGTCATTGTTGTGGTTGCTTCACAAAGCACCTCACATGGGAACGCTACTTTCATAGTTCAAACGACTTAAATGTAGCCGTAAAAAGATACGTAGTATTGCAGAAAAAATCAGGTAGTTTCTCATTCTATGGAAATGTTGCAGAAAAGATATTTTATTTTATGAGCTTTTTAATAACGGTTAAAATCTAGTCTGGAACTGAAACAAATCCAACTGAAAACATCTTAAATACATGACAAAGTGTGTTCATGAAATATTTATGTCAGTTTAATTTAATACTCTGTATATAGTTTTGCATCATATAAATAATGACATATGTCGGCGTATAATGTTAAAATTGTTTTATTAGTGTTGAAACCATGTGACTAATCTATATAATAATATAATAAAGCAAACTCTTGGAGAACCCTTTGGAGGAATTCTTGACATGTGGCAACACACTCTAGAGTAAAAATTGACATGTGGCATCATATAAATGTAATTTCATATATGCATGCGCGCAACATTAAGCCATTGTCCATTGATAGTAACTCATATGCATAAAGTCATAAACGAGTCTATTGAGCTTCCAAAACTTCCAGCAGGTATTGGCACGTGTAAATATTTGCTACTAAATATTTTACTTAATAAATACTTTTAGTAAATCAGTTTTGAATTTATTAATGAATTATATTTTAAATTTATAATTTTTTAATAAATCAACATAATCTTCCTAAAAACAATATGGAGCAACAAATAGGTAAGCACGGACTAATATATTGACTACTCTTGGCTTCTTAAAAAATATTACACTTGACTTTTTCCAAAATTTTGTAGATGCTCCCATACTTGGTTTTTATTGATGTGTTTCCTACTCCCTCCGTTCTTTATTATTAGTCCTTCTTTCTTTTTTGGGACGTTTTTTTTTATCTGTCCTCCTTTCCATTTAAGGAAAGTTTTTACTTTAAATATACTTTTATACCCCTACTTTTATTACCATTACCCCTTTCTCTTTCCTACTTTTTCATTTACCCACTACTCATTACACCTTTTTACACTACTCCTACTACTTTACTCTTAAAACTCGTGCCAAAGGGAGACTAATAAAAAAGAAAAAGAAGTATTTTTCTACTGGACCTATATTTTCTAATTAGAGATCATAATCCTAAGCAAAACCAAAAGAATGTTTTGACGCTTTTAAAATATGATGACCACTCCTTCTGTTTTGATATATTTCCTATTATTTCATTTCGACCCACTCTCTTTGTTTCATATACGCTACTTTTTTACCAGAATAAATATTTGCTACTAAATCATTTTTACTTCATAATTACTTCATAAATATTTGCTGCTAAATATTTTACTTTATAAATATTTTTACTAAATCTTTACTTAGTAATAAATGTTCATTTTTACGTCATAAAATTTGCTGCTAACTCACTTTTACTTCATAATTACTACTGTACTAAATATTTGCAACCATATATTGATCAAATACGTTCACTTTTCTTAACAATTTCATCACATTCTCATGTTCTAATTTTAGTAAATTGACGTAGTATTATTTTTCATTTTTTAATTCTCAAGGCCTACCATATCAACATCGAAAACTAACTTTACGCTTTTGTCTCATCTTTATTACCGTCTCCCTCACAAATCAATGTTTACGTGCATTGTCACACAGCCAACTCAATTCTCTTTTAAGTTCTAATTTTGGACATTATCATTTTTAAAATTTCATTTCCAAGACTCCATAAATCTCATAGCGCAATTTATGAATTCACTTGCAACTCAATACCCTACTTTTTATTTAATTTTTATGTCCATTATATTTATATTTATTTCATAACAAAAAATGTGATACAAATTTTACCGTGCGACGCACGGGTACACACACTAGTGTGTAAATATATTACTAGTATTATTTATTGATACTGTCATAGACAAGCATGCATTTTGGAGTATAAAATTGTCCTAAATGGTGTGGAATTGTGTAACACCACTGTGTTGATATAAATGGTTTACATTTATTGTAAAATAAAGAGTGATATATACAAATGTTGCAAATACGTGTGACTAATATGAAAATGCAATGACATGTGCAGGAGCAAGGGGGCAGGTGCCCCCTCAACCCTCATCCCATCCCTAAATACTTTCTATATAATAGTATCCAATATACGGAGTACAATTGTGTATATTTGAATCTTAAATATACATACTTAATAGTTATTATTATATACTAATTGCGAGAATGGAACTTAATGTGTTACGTTGCTAGCTGAGCAGAAAGACCAGTGCGGGTAACATCAATTTGTATCATCGATTGAAAGGTTTTGAAAGGTTAAAGGTTCGAATTTGGATTTGGGATTTTGTGAATTTTGTTTTTACCTAATTCTATTTCATTTTTTCTTGTTGGAAATATTTAAACTACATCAATGATTCAATATAATAACAATTTTAGCTTAACATATCTTTCAGAAAGTTTAACAATTACATTCATTTATATATTAGAAATTGGTTTTTAATATACTAGTCAGTTCACATTTTAAATTAATTTCAAGTACATATACATGATATGTCATGTTCCGGACCTACCGGACACGTCAACAACCCGACGTACAATACGAATAGTCAACCGCAGTCCAACTCATCCATACTGTACAAGGCGTCTTGTTTACCATTCGCACATAAACAAACATAATGTAAAATATTCATTTAATACAACGGAAGTGATATATCAAGTGTTTAAGCCACATTTGGCAAACATGGGCATACAACCCCCCCCCCCCCCCAAAAATAATTATTCAGAAAATATTATCCATGAACATTAGTATAATTGTTTTTGAAACAGAAATGGAGGAAGCACGAACCACGTCTTCTCTCCTTGATCTTTCCGAAGCAATGAGCGATGGTAGCAACCTTCACGTTGTACCTGAAACTGTGAGGTGGCCTTCCCCGTGAAGGGGAGGTCAGTACTTGGAAGCATTTGACAAGTATAATGACAACTATACTAAGTATAATCAATGTTTCAACTTCTAAGACCCTCAAACTAGGGTGTTATTATATTATAGTTAACCTCATTCATTTAATTTCAATTCACCATTATCTACTACGGTCTAGAGCTCAGCTCATAATCACTGTTATCTACTACGGTCTAGAGCCCAGCTCATAATCACCGTTATCTACTACGGTCTAGAGCCCAACTCATAATCACCGTTATCTAGTACGGTCTAGAGCCCAACTCATAATCACCGTTATCTACTACGGTCTAGAACCCAGCTCATAATCACCGTTATCTACACGGTCTAGAACCAAGCTCATAATCACCGTTATCTACTACGGTCTAGAGCCCAGCTCATAATCACCGTTAACTACATCGGTCTAGAGCCCAGCTCATAATCACCAATTTCCTACATCGGTCTAGAGCCCAGCTCATAATCACTGATTCTTTACAATTCAATTTCTTAGGATCTAATTCATCCATTATTCGACTAACATTTCCAACTAATATTTCAATACTAGTTATTTACTCATTTCAATATAATTCTTCATTCATGTGTAATTTGGCCTTAATATCAAAATATCACTTTTATACTTTCATGGCTTCTTCTCATGAAATAAAAGTATATTTATCACAAATGAATTTCATGGTTAATACAACCATCATACCATCATATTCATAACATATAAACATACACAGTTTATTCATAAATTTGTATATTATGCATACTATACTTATAATCAATAGTAATTTCATTTAGGCATTATTAACCATTAATAATCCATGCAAATCACATTTTGTATTCATTTAGGAAATCTCATGAAATTAACCCAATGATATAAGCAATATAGTCGGTCATCCTCACCTCAAATGAGCTTTAAACATTCCCTTCTTGATCCAATGGTAAAAGCTTCGGTCAAGGTGGATTAAGAACTGATTTCTTGCTTAGAAATGAGTGTTAAACAGCCTCCCCAAAGTGCTAGCTCAACATCTAATCGTTGATACGAAAACAGCCCCTGGAATGGGTGTTTTCCGGCGACTCGTTTCCTAGTTTTTTACAAGGTTTGTTCTAGTTAGTATCTAACCTTTACGTCAATAAAACAACTTCATAAGGACATATTATACACTTGAAATAGTGTAAAATAGTTCCACCAATCGTTCATATCACTTGGAAAACGAAAGAAAGAGTTTGGGATCAAAACTCACTTTAGAGGAGCACATCCGTTTTCTGCGAGGTTGTGTTTTCTTCCACGGATTTGGAAGCCTTCCACTACTCCGATTGATGCAAACCAGACCTTGACGGATTTCTCTTCTTGAGATCTTTCTCTAGGAACCTCACACGCCTTATTTGGTTCAGTATTTCACGAGATATGAAGCAAACAAGTAACCTTACGCACTGGAGTTTCACCCTGCGGACAGCTTGCTATTTCCTTTGTTTTCTTGGTTGTGTGGCTCTCTCCTTCTCTCTTATCTCTGGGAGTTCGAATGGGGGGTTGTGGGAGTGTTATCTTGTCCCTCACTTAGCCTCCAAAGTCAATGGGTAAGGGTGGGTTGGCATGTGGGATGATGGAGCAAGATATCTTTCAATCAAAATGGGGAGAGGGTCCATTCTTTGTACTTAGATGCAAAAAGCATCTCTTCCACCCTCTTTCCTTTGTCAACACAGCCCTTCCCTTGTCTAATTCAACACACACAAACGCGGTGTGGCCCCCACTCATGTGGGAGGTCATCCCTTTGTGTCTCAAAGTGTACATTCGGCCCCGAAAGTTGTATTTTTCGGACTGTTTTAAATATATTTTATTATATCGGGTCAAATAAAATATATCACGTGTTATCAATTAATATGGCCCTTATAATGAATATATATTCCCCAACTTTAATTTATAAGCCCCCTGAAATTCAT